AAACTAAACAATTATTAGTGAACACATTGTGTTGATACAAACTTCTAGTCAACAATTCATTTACACATAAAAACATATTCTAGTCAATGGACATTGGACTCTACAATACAATGCTTAAAATTGTGTTTTAAATTAATTCACATAATCTAAAATTATCATGATTTGTCTAGACATTATGGGCATATTTTAATTAATTAATTAATTTATAAAAATCATAGTTATTTCTTATTGTGCAAATTAACTGAATATTTATTAATAATTAAATTCGTGTAAAATTCACTTAGATTCTTAAGTAAAACTATATTTAGGCTAAATCTAACAAAATAATTTAATACATATTATAGAATAATGCTAAAATTACTCTATTTGGTTTAAAATGAATAAATATTAAGATGTATTTTACGTTAAATTAACATGTTTCAATGTTTATAAAAATTATAGTTTGAATTAGGTTCATACTGTCATAATAATAATATTATATAATGAACTATAAAAGTATTTTAACCTGATTAAAAACACAATATAGTGCAAGAAATGCGTACATATGCAGTATGTGTAAAGCACAACTAGGACCTTGGCAATTTCCAAGTAACAACTGTCTAAGTTCCCAATGTTACTCTGTCCATAGTTTATATAATGTACTATTAAATGATAGCATACGTAATGTACTTGTATTGTATGGAAAGGCAATTCCTTGAGTGATATAAACCATATTTTTATGTCAATTGATAACTAATATAATAACGGATTTATTTAAACCTTTTCAAACTTGTAACATAATGACCGAAAAGTAATCTAGATACTATCAATATTTAGTTTAATAAGAAAGTAACATGAAATATTATTTTAAATCAATTTAGTAATTATTAATGTTTAACTATTATTAATTACATGTTAACTGTTAATTATGTATATTTTTATATATTACAAAATAATTGACTTTTTCTGTGAACTAATGCTTTTATAGATATTATATTTAATGTAAACAAGAATTTCCTATTATTTATTAGTCTCTTTTGGTTGTATTTTAAACGATTATTTCATTAAAACGAGTTATTATCAAATCATGAGTTTTATGTAATTATTATGTTATTTATAAATAAATTTTCAATTAATAATATTACAACTATTATTATTAACATTTATTTAATCAAATACAAATGTTTAATTAATGGTAACCATATATATTTGACAAAGTCTCAACAATTTGGTGTAATGTTTTATCGTAAAAATTTATCTAGTAATTTATATTTTAATTTAACAAAATATTAAATTAATAAAAACAGATCGCGGTTACTGCACATTATAAATTAGCATAAACAGTGACAACTATTAAACATGATATTAATATTGTAATTTCAACTATAATATTTTAGCGGCCAATTGTTTATAGACTAAAATTAATGATTTTATTTCACGGATAAAAATTATTTAACTAAAAAGTTTAAGACAATCATTGTTGATGCAATTTTTAACAAATGACATTTGATAAATTAATATTTAATATACAGGAACTTTTTATTATTTAATAATATTATTTTAATTATTACAATAGTTTATTTTGCAATATTATAATATAGGAAATGATTATTCAAATACTAGTCCTTATATCTACACATACTGTGTATCTTCACGTATATATCATTTTTGAAATACAAATAATTAATAAATATAATTGTATTTATAAAATTATTCAACATTATTTTATATTACAAAATGAATCTCAATGGGATGGTGGCACTGGTTTTGGGTTATTTTTTTTAAATAATTTATATTATTTCAAATTAATTGCAATATATTTTTATCAATAAATGTAAGGCTCGTCTTCGGGTATCGGCAAAGAGATTGCCATAAAGTTGTGGTCTTTGGGCGCAAATGTAGTCATCACTGGAAGGGATGACAAACGCATCGCAGAAGTGGTCGACAAATGCCAGACGCGTGACAATCAGAGAGCGCTGGGAGTGAGGGCTGACTTATTGGTGAACAAGGATTGCAGGCAATTGTTATCAAAAACTATCTCAGAGTTTGGCAAACTTGATATACTGGTCAATAACGCCTACGATGGTCAGGAGCTTGGAAAGGTGTTTAGGGCACCGGACTATTTGCACATGTACAATAAGATTAAGAAGGACAGGATTTGCCGCATTAAAATATTGACACAATTAGCATTGCCGCACCTGGAGTTGACCAAGGGCCATATTGTTAACATCACAAACGTTGCCTCTAAGCCATTGAGATTCATTAGATTGGGGGCCACGAGTAGAGCGCCGCCGTCGACAGGCATAATGAGTCCAGTGATGAACGACGCGCTGCGCTCGGAGGCCAAGAAGGCCACCGCTTCGGCCATGTCTTGCGGTTCGCCGATTCGGCCCAACGGATACTTTTCGCGGCAATAGTTGACCAGAAAGTCCAAGAATTCAGTCCTGCCGTTCCTCTCGAAGACTGGGGTCCGAGTGGCGCCCGGGCTATACAAGTAGATTTTGTAGACAAGTATTATATAGTATTTATTGCATTTTCATTGTAAATATTAGAAATGTACAACAATTGAATTGTTGTGTTTATATATATTAATTTTAAAATAATTTAAGCAATTAGTTAGGCTGTTTTATAAATTATAATAATGCCTTATAATATAAGTATATGTATTATATGTTACTATAATTTAATATTTAGTTATTGTAATGAAGGAGGCATATAGTATAACAAAGGAATGTACGTCAGTATACTCACTTTACGGAATTCACCCGGATGCCTTTTGGCCCTAGCTGTATGGCCAAACATTTGGTAAACATGTCCATGGCGCTTTTGGCCATACAGTGAACCATGAATGCAGGATTCTTAAATTAAAATTTTATTAAAAAATATTATTATAAAATAATAAATGCGTGCAATAAAGCTGATTTCATGTTGATATTTTACCGGTAGCATAGAAGCGATGCTCGATATGTTGACAATATTGCCCTTGGTCAATTCCAGGTGCGGTAACGCTAGTTGTGTCAACACTTGAAAGGAGCCAATTTTGGCCTTCATAAGCGTTTCGTGCGACTGTAAATAGCCGGGCGAACCAAACAGATCACAATGACCATCGCCAGCGCACGCGTTATTGACCAGTATATCAAGTTTGCCAAACTGTAAGATAGTTTTTGCCACCAATTGCTCGCAATCCTTGTCCACCATTAAGTCGGCGCTCACTCCCAGCGCTCTCTGATTGTCCCGCGTCTGGCATTTGTCAACCACTTCTTGGATACGTTTCTCATCCCTTCCAGTGATGACTACATTCGCGCCCAAAGACCACAACTTTATGGCAATCGCTTCTCCGATACCCGAAGACGAGCCTTACATTTATTGATATAAATATAATTTATTACAAAATGCAATTAACCTATTGACAAATTTAATAAATGCTGTGTAAATAACCTGTAATTAAAGCCACTTTTCCATCAAAGTCCATTATGTAAACTACACTAATATTAAATAATTTTGCGTTTAGGTTAAATAGTTATTTATGTTTAATAAGTACTAATATTAAATACAGTATAATGAAACACTGGTTTTATAGTGTATTTTATAAGATTTCGACCTTGATGAATAAATCCTTGTTCCTATATTGCAATAATAACAATTAAAATCACAGTTCAGGTATTGATGTATATCAGGCAATATATGCCAGTTAATATTTTATATTCTAAATACTTTTGCATTGTATTAAATTTAAAAAGAATATCTTACAAAATTTCTTAATCACGATGATTCTCTGTTTCTAACAAAATTTACTCGAATAGTATGTTTTAAAATAAATATTTTCAGTTTCAAATAATTTTACAATTACTAAAAAACAATTATTATGCAAAATACTTATTTGTGTATAGTTGTTTTTATATTTTGTTCTAGAACAATTTAAATAAAAATAGCAAAACAAGAGTTTATCAAAAATAAATTATATAAAACAAGGTTAATTTAATAATACTAATTATTATTTATTTCTAGAATCAATTCAATGTTTTTTACATTTTTATTGTTATATAGAGCAAATTGTATAACTTTAAATTTTTGACTAGACATTTTAAAATATGTTGGGTCCTGCTTATTTATAAATATAAGTATAACTAAAGCACAAAAATCCATTTTTTCCTATGGGGGTTGTTCAGAATAGGGTTATACAGAAGTTTTGATAATGATAATGTAAATTAATAATGCAAGCTAATTTATATCTTACAATATTTCCAGCGTTTACAAATTCAATACAAGTATTAGGGTTAAAAATGAAAGGTTTTATTTATTTAAAATTGTAATGGTTATAAATTATAACTTATAATAGACCATTTTTATTTAAAAAAATATGATTATGCTTTAAAAATTATTTAGACTATTGCCGTTGTAATTGCATTGTTAGAATTGTTTTAGTTTTAATGAATTATGTTAAGTTCTGTGATAATAAAGGACCGTCAATATATCTTGTTATCTCATTTTTAAATAAATTAAAGATTACAAATAGCATAATATTTTTGCCTGGTGTATATTTACTTTACATTTATTTAACTAACAAAATAAAATTATATTGGGTTAGAAAATAATTGCTTGAAACTAATTTATTGACCATTAAACCATAGTGTAAGCCTTTCAGAGTGCCTATTATGTTAATATACATACTAATGTATAGTCTCGTGGATTTTGGTATTAATTTAAAACTAAACCAATCAATGATTTCATTTGCAGAATAAATTATTTAATACAATCATTGTTTGCTTAACTTTCAACAAATGACATTTAAAAATGAACATTTAATAACCTGAATTGTTTAATTTATAATAGTTAAAATTATTGTAATTTACTAAATGGATTTCAATGAAAAAGTGGCACTAATTTTGGGTTATTTATCAAACATTTCTATAATTTCAAATGAATTACAATATATTTATATCAATAAATGTAAGGCTCGTCTTCGGGTATCGGCGAAGCGGTTGCCATAAAGTTGTGGTCTTTGGGCGCGAATGTAGTCATCACTGGAAGGGATGACAAACGCATCGCAGAAGTGGTCGACAAATGCCAGTCGCGGGACAGTCAGAGAGCACTGGGAGTGAGGGCTGACTTAATGGTGGACAAGGATTGCGAGCGATTAGTGGCGAAGACTATCTCAAATTTAAACAGAATTGATATACTGGTCAATAACGTCGGCGGCGGTCAGAGACTCGGGAAGGTGTTTAGGGCTCCGGCATATTTGCGCTCATATGATAGGTCTATGAAAGACAGGGTTAACCGTATTGAGTTTTTGACACAATTAGCGTTACCACACCTAACAACAACCAAGGGAAATATAGTTAACATAGCCAGTGTTGCCTATATATTACCCGTACGTTCAATAGATTAAATGTTTAAGAGTTTATAACCATAATTTACTTCTATGTTATATATTTACTATGCAATTAGAGCCCTCTACCCAACTCCCACCGTATTCCCAAATGTACCATGAACATTTTTGCCAAACGCTTGGCCTTACAATTAGAGCCCAAAGGAATCCGCGTAAATAATGTTAAGTAAGTATCAATATATTTACTATAAAACAGGAGCACGCAAAAGCAAGCAAAAATTAGCATTGCATCTATGCTCCCATAGACAATACATTACAGTTTACTTTCGTTTACCCAGTTTTACCCGCCCTGCGTGGCTATGCTATAAAATATTAATAGTTAAATAGTAACTATAGTTATTTTTAAACTAACAATTAATTAATAATTTAACCTAATTAATTTTAAAACCATAATAGTTCTTACAATATTTAAGGGAATTATAGTATTAGCTTAAGCATACACAATGTTATTTTGTTTGTCAGATAGACTTATTTGCGATATTTTGGCCTTAAGGAATTTCTTATAATGCTCAATCTTTTATTATTTAATTACTAAACAACATGAGTAAACCTAACTTATAAACATGGCTATGCCATGGTAAAATTAATTGTTATAAGTTACATACTGTAAAAACGAGTTTAATAGAATAACCAATTAATCTTAATATTATTTTTAAAACAATTATTTAAATACACGAGTTTATTTTTAATATTTTGATTATATTTTTTAAAAATAAATAATATACACATGTATTAATTTAATAGCTTTGTTTGCAAACCATGTTTTATAATTTATTTCAATAGTTTATGTGTCGTAAAGTATCCGATGCTAAATGAAGTGACCGGCGATACAAATGGTTCGGCACTTACTGTGAACTACTGTCGAGAGAGACATCGGTCGGGCGGTAGCGAGCAATTGGAAAACGTGGCCGAAATGGTGGCCACTATAGCCGCCGGGGATGTCAGTGGACTTGTGATGGTTGTTGAGGGCAGTGTTGTCATTGCCGAGGAGTTAGAATAGTGGTTCATACTGTTTGTGATAGATTTACTAAATTGATATGTTATGATTATTTTCATTAAACATTAAAATGTAATATGAATTTTTTGTTTTTTACATTATTTATTTTATTTAGTGTCCCTGATTTTATTTATTAACTTAAAACTTTTACAGTGTTTATTTAAAATTAATTAAATAATAGTCCAATTTTTAAAGTTATTTATTGTTATATTAGATGACAATTAAAAAAATGTTAATTATTTATTATCTAATTATAGAATGTGCTTTTAAAATATAACTAGATTTTTTTGTAAAAGTTATTAATAATTTATTTTATCAAAACCAATATCGCATCAAATTATACGCCGAGAAACTTAACACTCATTTCCCTATTAATAACGGGCGAGAAATTCATGCCTTTTAGGAGTAGATTCTCAGCGATGGCCGCATCGACACTACTATAGCCCATCTCATTGCCGGTGACCACATGTCCGTCGGCGCAGTTGGTTGTGGCCGTCATTAAGCCCTCGCGGAGCCCCTGTTTGAGCGCATCGTCGGTACTAAACACACACTCGCAGCCCATTTCGCGGCACAGATTGGCAATCGTCTCGTCGGGCGTATAAAATGGAAACTCAAAACACTTGATACATGTGTTAACACTACTGTCGCGCAGTTTGCGTAACCCCTCGGCCACACCGGCGCCGATATGCGCGGCCAATATGTCTCTATAGGAACCGGCGAAGAACCCGGTGCCGTATTTTAGGAATTTAAGATTAACCCCGGTGATATTATCGCAATTATTACCACCGGTGGCTAATATGTCGTTAACGGCACAGCAAACCAGATAGAAATCGTTGGCCACAAACATGCGATAAGCGTAGGTATCAAAGTAGACATCCCTGTGCTTAACGTACCGCCCGGTGTTATCGCTGGCCACTTGGGACAGGGCTTTCCTGGGCTCGCCTACCACTTGTTGATAAATCATGTCATCCAATAGCCCGGTGGGCACATCCGGGCCAATCAACACCAGACGGCCGCTATTGTACGAAAGTTGAAACTGTAGGCCAATCAGATCGCACACAATCACCGGCACGTTTTGCGGGTGTGCGGCCGCGCAATACCCGCCGTACCGTACCGTCCGATCGCGGCCTACGATCACTGTCTGACGTGCTAGGTCCTTTAGCGAATAGATAACACCATGGTCAGTAATCGCCGGGCTATAGTAGGAGAACTGTATGGCACCGGACACGTTGCGCGCCTCATTGCGCGATAGTATGACACAGTCTTTGAGGGTAAGTTTTTGGCTGATTTGAGCATGGTGTGTGTTTTGCTTACGATCAATGACGCATAGTTCGGTGCCCGGAGAGATGTGTTTGCTCAGGGTGTTTACGGCTGATTGCACCCATTCCGGCCCGTATATAGTCACCTCCTGGTTCTGATATTGCAGGCGCCCGATGTCCGATATGAGTTGATCGTGGCGTAGATATATGGTGATCATGGTACTTTTTGCTGGTATAAATGTTGTTGCTCTCTGTATTTACTTTAGTAATAATATATTTAATTATAAGAACATATTTTTAATTTTTTATAATAATAATTTTTAAAAAATTGATTTAACTTTTCATTATTTTTGTTTAAGAGTTAAACTTTACCTTATAAGTTTTAGTGTTACATAACTATAACAAATTAATACAAAATTTTAATTATACTTACATTAATTAGAACTGATAAGTATGCTGAACAAACATCCTGTGTTAACAATAATGACAGCAATTACAATGATATTTAATGTGTGTTAATACAAAATGTATTGCATTCTGCAATATATAAAATATTCATACACACGCCCAATAATGTTTTAACATTATGCAATATATAATAAGTTGTTATTAATAACAATACGTGTAAATAAACAGGAATTGTTAATAATTGTATGTATCAGTAATAGATGGGGCAATACTCTCTCTCTCTCTCTCTCTCTCTCTCTCTCT